CCTTCCCTTCCCTTCCCTCTTCCCTGCGCTGAGCCCCGAACGCGCTGTCGGTGCGTGCCAGCGGCCTGCTTGGACTTAAACGGCTGCTGGTTCGGGGTGTTACGGGGTGTTACGGGGTGTAGGGTTTGTGACCGGTAGCTGGAGATACTCATTTCACGTTTACAGAGTAGATAGGTAGTTGTGTTTGCAATACGGAGTTTCTTTCCTTGCCACTTGCCACGCTAATGAATTCTAATTCCAGCTCTCCCGTCTCCCCCTTCTTCCCCACCAGCCCCCTGCCTTAACGGCCTTTAACATTTGCCCATCGCTGTTTTCTCCATGTGGTTGTCATGCCACTGTTGAGCTCTTTTCGCTATTTTTGTCTTCCATCGTCTTCTGATAAATGCCAGAGCACTCATCAGTGTCTTTTATTCTTTCCCATGAGGCTGTTGCCCGGAATGTTTTGCACAAAACCTGGAGGAAGTAATAGAGTGAAAACCTCTGTCTCCCCCACCCTGACTTAGAGCTGTAGCTGGTGTTACAGAAGTAGGTTTTGTAAGTGTAATAGAGGAGAAGTAAGGATGTCTGCCTTGGACTTGTTCATCCCATGGACTGTTACTGTGTCTCTCCCTTTAGGAAGGGAGACGCAGCAAATTAGGTTAAAATTTTAAATAAAATTACGTAAAAAGATTGAAGTTCGCCTTTCTGTTAGTGATATCAACCAAGGACTGGATAGTCCCAGCTCCTAAAAAGTCAAGGCTGAAATGATAATACTGGCCAGCTTCAACCAAATTTGTCATTGTAGGAGAAAAACCCTTAAAGATGAGCATCTCTGGGTTTGTCAGTTAGATGCCTGGATGAAAGAGCGACTCAAGCTAATGCTGTCGTGACTCTTTTGGCTGTATATTCGGTTCAGACATGTGGCAGGCAGGGTCAGGAGGCTGTTCAGGGTTTTTCCTCTTTCACTGGAGCAGGTCTCTGCTCCGGTTCGCCATGTGCTGCACAAATGCTTGTAGCCGTGTTGCGTGCAGATGTGGCTGCTCAGCCAGGGCGTTGGCTGCTCGGGTTGGCATTGCCGCTGAGGAAATGCACGTACAGCCAGAGCCCTCGGAGGAAGAAAGTTACGGAAGCAGAGGCTCAACAATGAGCGGTTGTTTGGTCTTGGATGGTCAGCTGTATGGCATTTTGCCTGCTGGTAACTGGGGTGCATATAAGGAGCACGAAAGACTTGAAGGGGGTGGTGGCTGGAGGATAGAGGAGAAGAAAGGGCATGAGTGGATTTGATGGGGTGGGATAGGAAACAAAAGGGCCATTATGAATTTGGATAAAAGCAGGAATTGTGCTTGGGGGTGAGGGGCACAGGGCACAGATCTGTACAGAATCGAGTGTCATTACTTTCAGCTGAGTGAGATGACTCCTGGCATTTTTTAATTTCCCTAAAAACATTGGAGGATGGTGGTTATAACATCCTCGGGGTCAGCTACAAGCCTGGGGAGGCTGAGGTTGTGGCTCCAGCAGTCTTCCCAGAACACGCAGCCACCTCCCTGTTCTGGTTCTTGTGCTGCCCTTTGTGCTGTGCTGGTGTGCAACCATGTGCCTGACTGCTCCATGAACTGGGAGAAGGAGCTGGTGCAACATGGAACGAAGAGGTAGATGTGGCTTCAGCAGGTGGGTTGCACCACTAGAGCTTGATGGAAGCCACATGAGGATTTCCCTTGTGGAAAGGGACTCTCCAGCAGCCTTGAGTCCAGAGGAGCTGGAAAGGGAACTGAGAATCTGGTCTGGGGGTCTTTTCTGTCACTGAAATGTCATATTCTTTAAAACAGTTTGTTAGTAGTGTAAACCGAGGGTTTCTCAGGCTTGACTGAGCTAAGATTATTGAATAGGGTGAGGAATTAGGTGACATATGTTGCTAATATTTTTAAAAATAAAAATCCAGGGTGTTGATGAGAAATGCATGAGAATGGGAGCTGTGGGGAGAAGAAGAAATATATATTTATTACTGTGTCTATGTAATGCTTTCCCTCTGAAGCCTCGTGTTACTGTTTAAACAAAGAAATCTGGTAGGCATTTCAAAGCAAAAGCTTATGCTTCCAGTCTGTTACTCTGTAGGTCGCTTTATAAATGCGAACCTGCGCGATAGTCTGTACAGGATCAAGAAGAGGTGTCATGACCTCTTGTAATCACAGAATCACCAAGGTTGGAAAAGACCTATAAAATCATCCCATCCAACCATCACCCCAACACTACCATACCCACTAGACCATCTCCTCAAGGGCCACGTCTACATGCCCCTTGAACACCTCCAGGGATGGTGACTCCACCATGTCCCTGGGCAGCCCGTTCCAGTGCCCGACCACTCTCTCAGTGAAGAAGTTTTTCCTAATATCCAATCTAACCCTCCTCTGATGCAACTTGAGGCCGTTTCCTCTTGTCCTGTCACCAGTTACCTGGGAGAACAGACCAGCACCCACCTCCCTACACCGTCCTGCCAGGGAGCTGTAGAGAGCCATCAGGTCTCCCCTCAGCGCCCTCCAGTATGATCCCCCCCATCCCCCTCAGCCGCTCCTCATCAGACTTGTTCTCCAGACCCTTCCCCAGCTTTGTCGCCCTTCTCTGGGCACGGTCCAGCATCTCTATGTCCTTGGAGTGAGGGGAATAGGAATATGCAAACTGTAGCCATACAACTTTGAGTGTTCAGTTGAATAGTTAAGGGAAAATAGGTAATATATGTTAGCAGGTTGTGTTGTCCCAAAATCCAGAGCAGTTTCTGTCTTGTGTAAGGAGTATTTGGAAGCATTTGCTTCTGCCTTTCCCTTTTAGAATTGTGAAATAAGCTGGTTTTGCGCTAGCTCAACTGGTCTAAAGTTAGGAGTGATTTACTTTTGAAGAACGTTCTTTATTCATTGATGTCAGATTCTGTACTTTCACTGTACTTTACCAACTTGAGCGTTTTCCAGTTTCCTCTAAGATAAGTATTGTTCCCACTTACTGAGGGCAGCGGGACTTTCCTGGGGCTCTCCTTTGCTCCCACTTCATGTGGAATTTTCAAAGGCATGTGGACTACTTGAAAGCAGGCTTCAGGCATACAAAACTGCAACAGATAAGGAAAGAAAGGATGAAATCTAATGCTTCTACAACTTTTGTTCTGTGTTAACTAAATTTTAAACTCCCTCCTCAGAAAGACAGCAAATTCTACATAATTGAGATGGGAAAATAAGGTCACTCGTATGAAACCTTAACTTCTGCAGGGTATGGGATGCTCGCTGTAGTGGGATGTTGTTAGAGGATGCTGCAGAGTTTGTACCTGTGTGCGTGCAGAGATGAGAAAGTAATGCGTATTAGGAACTAAAACTCAGGCTCGGCTCCTGCCCTTCAAGGCTTCTGAAGGGAGTGTCTTGAGATACCACCACAGTTTGTCATCCTAATGGACTGCATATTTTGGTAAATGTTTGCAGTCAAAAAAA